AGCGACCGCCGGGTGCTCCAGTGAAGTCCTCTGCGAGTTAACGGGATCCAGATGGAGGAGATGAGCCCCATGAGACAGAACGTTTCACCTGCTCCATGCCAGGGAGACTTACTGCCCGTAAAAACACCGAATTCAAGTCCTGAGCTGTTTATCCCAAGCGGTGAACCTTTCTCCTGCAGAGGGACATCTCAAACTAGTCCAGCAAGATTCTTTTCCCGATGTAATTAATAGCCTGAGTCACTGAATACCTCACCAGGGCTGTAAGGAATTTGGCTCGTTCCCTCTTGCGTGGGTGGTACGGCTTGATCCCGAGGCTGACCCTGCGAGCTGTTGGGTGTCCAGGGAGTTGGCACCTCTTGCATGGGTTTATTCGGGCATCTACCAGATTTTGGGTTGTTTTAGCATATTAAGCCTGATCTCGCTTCGATGCATGTTTGAGCTCGTAATTACCGCTAAGCATCGTTAGCGTGCTGCAGGAATTAATTGGGGGGGCCTTGGAGGATGCTGGTGTGGCACTTGAGGGTTTGGGGGCTGATTTTGAAGGCTGTAAAAGACAAGGAGGGGCTGCAGGGTTAGAAAGCTGCCTCGGAAGTGTAATCTTCACACATTTTTGCTTTGAAGGCAGACGGGCATTCAGCTAGCCACCATCATCTGTTCAAGTTTGGCCTGTGCCAAGAGTAGAGTCTTAATTCTGTCGCCTCCTTTTACAGCTGCTGGGTTTTCCTCCTTGCTCAGCAGAGCTTTGTGGTGATTTCCAAGTTTCCTCCTGTTGTTCCTCTCTGTAGAAACCCTCTGATCTAGATTTAATTAGCTGATCCCATCCTGATGAAAACAACCAGGTTTGGCTTTGTTGAAGCGTTAAGACCTGTGCTCTGCTTCAGTTTTACTGCGTTTGAGGAGGGATATTTTAATTGGGGTGGATTTTCAGAAAGTGTTAAAGGAAAATAACTTTGATTTACGGTTTACTTAAGAAAATTCAGATTCTTTAATTGGGGTTGGCAGCCTGTAACCTTAAATATGGGGGTCCTGAAAGTGGTGAGATCTCCATGAGCCAGCCATTCTTTTTAGAAACAGACAAAACTCACCTTTTTTTTTTTTTTCCTGTTGTTGTTGTAATATAGTGAGTTACACCTTCGTTCTGCCTCACCCTTTACGCTTTATTTCCTTACTTTCTCCTTTCTGCTGTCAGTATTTTTCTAACATGCCATTATACTGGCTTGAGAAGTGACTTTGGAGAAGAGGGACTGTCAAGGGGTGCAGGTTGTGTGTTTATGCTGCTTCCCAGCTGGTTTTTCGGGAGAAGGCTCTTCACCTCCTGGTCATCAGGGTCGGCAGCTCCTCCCGTCCCATGTCGCTCACTCGGGAAGCGTCGGCATCAATCAAAACGTCTGCAGAACTTCCAGCAGGTAACAGTGGAGTTTGAGCTGCTTCCTTCACTGGTTATCTTCTACCCGTTTATTGACACGGGGAGGGGAAAATCAGCTGTCAGCATGAAAGAACAATTTGTAATTAATTTCCTTCTTGTGTAATTAGGGCACAGCCTGAGTGAAGTTACCTCAGTGTTCCTGAAGTTCAGGGTGGAAGGACAATCTTGCTTCCTCATAGCAGAATCCAGTGTCCCCTTGCAGAGGTGAAGTTTATCCCTTCAACAACCCCCTTTTCAGGTTAAGGGGCAAATTGTGCATTTTGGACGCTCCCCCATGCCGTTCTGCCAAGCTTTCCACATTTTGGTGAGGGATTAATTGTACAACAGCCCTTTCCTTGGACTCTGAGCTTTGTGTTCCCTTTTAAACAAAGGTCTGGCCAAGGTGCGAGTCCTCAAGGGGCAGCTGGTGCTGAGCCCAGGCTGCCATCCGTGCTGCCACATCGATGAGCTCGGGTCTCATCCAGCTTCTCGGGAGCGTTTGGTGCTTGATGCCACCATGTAACTGGGTCCTTGGACACTAAATATTGCTGTGGGTTTGTGTTCGGTGTCAAAAAACCTTTGAATTAAGTGCAGCTATAGATACGCTGTGTAGGAAATGCTGAGTGCTTGTATATGTAGCGTCAAGGTTTTCAAGGCTCTGTGCTTCTCTAGGATGCAGGCAGTAAGCTCCAAACATCTGACAGCAATTCAACTAACTAAAACGCCCTCAGACCGCTTGAAGCTGAGCAGGATGGACCTCGGGCTGCCCGTGACTTGCAGGAACATCCCAGCACCTCGTCCCCAGAGGAGAGGAGAGAAGAGGAAGCGGAAACCAGGCAGGAAGAGCTCGGAGAAGTCAGTGGGTGCTGAAATCCTGCGCCAACTTCCCTGTAAATGCGTTCCCTGAACAAGCTATCTTAAGAAAACTGCTGATGAGTAAGCGATCGCGTAGAGTTCACCGCAGCCGCTCCTGCGTGCTGGCTGCTGTGAGGGACAAGATTTAGGATATAGGTGCTATACGTCTGGCCACTGTTCGATTTACGCCTGTCACGATAGTTTTTGGCTGCTGCTGCTTTTCCCTCAGGAAAGGCAAGCTGAATTATTCCTTCGGCTTCCTTCCCTCCATGCTCCAAACATCTTCTAGCCCTATCGTGCGTCGATCTGTTGGAGAACACACAGTTCAGTGCTGAAATTCAAATTTATGTGGCTCGGCATAAATAAGGGTGTTTTATTTTTCCCAGAGTACCCTTTTGACCACTACGGCTACTGCGATAACCTCAGCAGTGGCCCTGGCTCGAGGGTGGTAGCAGATTTATCTTGTATTTTCTGATTGTTCAGCTCAGAGCTCAGTTTCTGCTAATGCTTTTGGGTATTTTATCGTGTTAGTTAATAATTACGATAATCACATGCACCATTCCCTAAACCCTGCTGTAAATCCTGTAAAGAAGTATTTTTTTGTAGCACCTAAACAAGAAGGATCTGGGGAGGAGTTTGCAGGAAGAATCTCTGGAAAGAAACTGCAGGGAGGTTTTGTGGCGAGTGTTGGGGTGTTTCGGAGCAGACGGCCCCGTCCCCTGGCAGGATTTCCTGTGGATATGTCCAGCCTCATAGCTCTGCTTCCTTATGAAACCTCCGAGGCTGTGGGGAGCATCTTGCAGCAAGGAGTTTTGAGGTGCTTGAGCTTACTTATCAGTCATCAGCAATTAGTGACGGCTGGTAGAACTTGTTTGTGTGGTGCTACATATAGAAACTACTGATAAGTCACCACCGTGGCACTGATTTAACTCCTTACTCTGATTGTGAAGTTGCCAACAGCTTCATGTTCATTTAATTGTTTTAGATGAGAAACACATGAACAAGACTTTAAGCAGTATTAAATTGAGGACTTCTTTCAAGAATATATCACCCAGAGCATCGTTTCATAGTCTGAATGTTTCCAGGCTGGATAATCCATGTGTAATCTATAAGTATTTCCCAAAGGTATGGAAATAATTGCAGTAGGATTCTGTGAGTCTCCAATCAAGGTGCTGAAATAGCCACTCGTTATTAACACAGATCTTACATCCTCCTGCTCTCCTCCTCTAATCAGAAAATCAATCTATCTCAGCTCTAATACATGGCTGCTGTAATAATTTCCAGATTTAGTGGGTAAAGATTTCCTTTAGGTGCCACCAATCCATCTTCCGTGTCGCATAGATGATCCTAGAGAAACAGCTTGGGCGTTTGTTGACTCCTTCTATCTGAAATATTTGGGGTTCTCTTTGTCAGGCTCTCTATTCCCTGAGATTATTCTTAATTCTATTAAAACAACCTTATCAGCCTGTGCTTGTGCCATTCTGGAATAAACCCCTTTCCGCCCTTGGAGCGTTTACTTCCCCCCTAAACTATCTTGTGGCGTTTCCACTCCTGCTCTGTCTCTTCCATCACGTTTTCTAGGAGTTGCAGCTGCAAACTGGGAATGTCAAATGAAGTCACGCAGCGGCAGCAGCGCAAACAGAAGGAGGTTGTTCCTCGCACAACTCAAAACTGTGGGATTTCTTGGGTTTAAGTGGGTTAAAATTAAAAAAAAAAAAAAGGCAGGAAAAAAAAATACCTCAAGGAGCAACATGTATGGCTGAGCCAGAAATTGGGGATCTTTGAGGGGAGCAGTATTATGTCCTCCCTGTTTTTACCTTCTGAAGGAGGGATGTTGATGTGATGGTCTTACTCTACCGCTGCTCCCTTCTTTCACCACGATCTGTTGCTGTTCCAGTTTCCCACTGGAATAGAAGATTTTTCTCATTGTTCCACATCTTTTTTTCTTTAAAACTTCATTGACTGAACCTTGCTAAAGAATCGTTCTCTTCCTCACCAGAAGTAGGTTCCATTTACACCCAGCAGAGCCAAGTTGCCACAATCCTTCATCTTTATGTAATTTACAGCGCTTTCTTTCATCATTTGAAATAAAAGCGTGTCCTTTGGATGTTTGTGCTTTGGTTCGGATACTAAAGAAACGGATCTGGGAAAGGACAGGGCTTGTGAACCGCAGGGCTTGAGGAGGACCATGGCTGCTTTTGGGGTACAGCCTGCCTCTCATTACCCCTTTCCGACTACTGCTGGTTGATTTTAAGCTGCTTTAAACTGGTTTGGGGGCAAAATGTGAGGGAAAAATCCACTGTCCGGAAGCTTTTGTCGCTGCTCTTCCTCAGGCAGGGCCTCAGCAGGGTAGATGCGGCAGCTGGGTGAGGTGATGGGGGTTTGGGGGGTTTGATCCCCCCTTGGGGCAGCGCGCGGGGGGGCGGGGGGAGGTCAAGGGTTATTTTGGGAGCCGAGGGGCAAAGGTGAGGGGTCAAGGGGCGAGTGAGGGCCCGCCCGGTGGCACCGGGCCCGCGGGCTCCATGGCGACCCCCGTGAACGAGCGACCCAATCGGGAGAGGGACTATCTCTGATTGATAGGAAGGCGCCCTCGCGCCGGCCAATAGAACCGGGGGGGTGGATGCCGGCAGGGAAGCGCTGGCCAATGGGAGGGGCGAAGTGGGTCGCGCCTCTCGGCCAATGGCGGGCGCGGAGGCGGGCTCCTGGAGCGCGGCCAATGGTTGAGCTTCGTGGGCGGGCTAAAGCGGCGCCGGGGCCCAATGGGCGGCGGGCGCGGTGCGCCTGCGCAGTGGGCGCTCGGGAGGGCAGTGCGGCGCCGCTGGCCGGAGGCGGAGGGGAGCGATGGAGCAGGGATACGGCGGTAGGTGCGGGGCGGCCCCGGGGCGCCGCGGCGGCTCCTTTCCTCCGGGGGGGGGGCGAGGCTCGGGCCTCCCGCCGCCGCGGCGGCGCTTCCCCGTAACGGCGGCGACAGCGCTGGGGGGGAGTGGGGGGGGGGTGTCAGCCCCTGTGGGGAGGCATTGTGCCCGCCTCCTCTCTGTGTGTGTGGGGGGGGATGCTGCTGCTGATTGGCTGAGCGCCGCGTCGCTCCGCGCTAGGGCGCCGCCGATTGGTGGGTAGATGCTCTTCAAGGGGGGGGGGGGGTGTGTGTGTGTGGAACATTCGCCCTCCTGGGTGTTGGGGGGGGGGCGGAAATGGAGCCGGTCCCATTTCTGAAGACGACACAAAATGGCGGCCGCGCGGCCACGCCCCCGCCGCGTGCGCGCCGGTTCTTCCCCCCCCCCCCCCCCCCCCCCTTTCCCGGGGTCCCCCCATTCCCTCCCCCCCCCCCCCTCAGGGCTTGGGGGGGGGCGGTGGGTTTAGCCAACGCATCTCATGCCCACGCATCGGCACCCCCCCCCCCCCCCCCCCCACACACACACACAGCCCGGGTACCGGATTCACCCTGGGCGGGGCTGAAAATCGCCCCCCCCCCCCCGCTTTTACCCCCGAGTGAAGCAGCAGCGTGAGCCTGTCACGACCATAAACCCCGCCGTAACGAGCCGCGACAGGTCGCCCCCACCTCAGGTCCCCCCCGGGTCCCCGCCTCGAGCCGTCCAGGCGCGTCTTTGCCCCCTGGAAGCGTCTCCCTCCTCCCCGGTGTAACGGCAGCCGGCCAGGCCGCGTCAGACGAAGCGCCGGGAGGCGGGTGGGAGCCGGCCGGCGGGCGTCAGAAGGGCGGGGGGAGGCTGGGAACGGCGTTGGGCTTTGTTTGCCGCTGCGGGGAAGCGATTTGTGAGGGGGAAAATCCCGTCGCCTTCATCCGAGGGCTGAGCGGCGTCGCGTTCGTAGTGTTGGCGCGCTCGCCCAGCTGCCGCTGGTTTTTAACATTCCTTTAAGCCGTGAAAGGAGGCAGAAGAGGAAGTTGAAAGTAAGTCAGCCGAATCATCTGTTAAACTTCAAATATCCGTTGTTTAAAGCCCCTCGATGAAGTTTATTTGGACGTGAGATGGTGGCGCGTGGGTAAGCGCTCGCAGATGTGAACCCGAGGTCTGGATCCTCGCCCCCTGCGCCGTTTGGAGCCCCCTGTCCTCTTCTCACCTTGGATTCACACTTCGCTTCCCTTATGTTCGCGTTCAGACACGTGAAGGTTCCATGAGGGCGATTTTTACCTCACTGTTGAAAACACTTCCTTGGTTTTTATAACATAGTTATGACTGTGGCAGGATTTTATAAATAATACAGCAGCGACGCTGTTTCTGTGTGTGTTTTATCAAGTTCCTAATTCCCCGTGCATCGCTTTTTCTGCAGGGATCATTCATAATTCATCCAGACATTGTGTTGGTACAGACCTGTTGACAAGTTGCTCTTGCCAGGTTCCCTCGGTCTCCGCTTTCAGCCTGGTGGAGATCTGATGCCCCGCATCTCATTCATCATACTTTTAAATGCTTTTTAAGGGTTTTACCTGTTCTTTGGGCATACAAATGAAGTGAGAAACTGCAACAGCATTAAAAACACCTTGAATGTGTGTCGAGTCATGCTCTGCGAGTGCTGGTTTCTCCACTGACAGCTGAGTGAGTCTGGATAAACAACTCGGAAGAGTTTAGGCAGCTAAAAGTTATTCCTGAGAAAGAATTCTTTGGCTTCGTGAAGTTAATGAGCTACTTAAAGCCGGGATCTTCCCTTTGCCATGAGAACTAGTCATAAATTAAAACCCCCAAGCACGGTGCAGCTTTAGAGGAGTTTTGCTGTGGATTTTTACCGTTAGATGGTATGAAAATGAGGGAGTTCTTACAGTTCTTGTGTATTTGGGGTTTTATAAGTAAACCTCGGGTGTAGTCAGCTCAGCTTGTAGGCAGCCCCTTTATTTTTAAATTCTCTGCGTGTTGAGAACCGTGTGGTTCCACACTAGCAGGTTTTTGAGGCGAGCACCCTTTACAGTCGAGCCTTGTGAAGGAGCCTGTGATACATAGGTTTAATTTAAATACTTAGTGATTCCAGCAGAAGACAAACATTATTCTCCCAGGATAAAGTCCTTTGTTGAAATCGGCAGGAGAACCTCAGCCTCAGCTTTTGGAAAGAGTTGCCTTCTGGGTCCCAGCTTTTTTTTTTCTGTGGGTGTTAAACTGAATTTCTCAGCGCTTTGTGTAGACTGAATTACATAAATCTCTTGACGTTGCTCCGACATCTCTGGATTTGTGCTCTGCTTATACATGTGTGTGGTGAAAAATTATTCCCAAGCTTTTCCCCCAGCTCAGGGAACACTGTTTTGGGAATCAGCTGTGAAGCAGGACACAGTCAACTCAGTAAAATTCACAGCTTGGTCCCTTCCGAGTTGTTTTTTTGTTTTTTTCTTTTCCGATCTGCACTTACTTTGTGTCTATCTTCCCAAGAGAAAGTGATGTTGATTTATTTTGCTGAGATTTTTCCTTCCTGGGGAAAATGTCTGCGGATGTGCTGTGCTGCTGCAAAACTGACAGCTAGAACCTCTGCTCACTGGTACCAAGTTGTCAATACCCAAGTGTCTCATCTAGTGGGTTTTTTACATAATATTTAGTTTCAAAATTAGATGTTGGGCTTTTAATTACCATGTTCTTAAGTGATACTGAAAGCTTGAGGTCTGTGCTTAACCCCAGTTTCTTCATTCCTTGAAAGAATATGATCATTGTGGCAATACCTGTATGAACGTAACGTGCCCTACGTCTCAGCAAGCCAAGGCGCCAACATAGACGCACTTAATAGAAAAGCGGGGAGCTTTGTCCTGTAGAACCTGGAGGTACAAAGGGGTGGGACTCCGGATGAAAAACGCTGCGTTCTGTGCCGAGCAGACTCCGTTTTCCTCCAGGTTTTTTTGCTTGGGCCAGGCTGCTTTTACCTCCTGAATTAACGCGCCCAAGGTTTTACCAAACACAGCTTAAAAAATGGAAGGAGAGAGGAGCTCGCTTTTGATGCGACGTCTGCGTGCGGTCGAAAGCGCGAGGGCTGCTGCTATTTTTGGCGTCACTGGGTGAGAAACGGAGCAACCTGCCCGGAGAAAAGCATCCCTGCGCGGCCTTTGCTATCTCTTCCTGCTTTTCTGCAGCGACGAGCGTACCCGGAGACGGGCGTCGCGCTGGGGTGATGCTGGTGACAGCCCGGAGCTCGGTGTCACTCGGTGTCACTGCGAACGATCGCGTGCGCTCGGCAGTTGGTTTGCAAGGGGTGGGTTAACGTGGAGGGAGCGTTAAAATTCAGCTGTGGATTTAAAGTCAGGCCTTGGGGTGGCTGTAGGCGATGGATTGGAGGTTTGTCCTTAATTTCTGGGCTCTGTCTCGACTTGATCGTCCCACTGAGCCTCACCGGAAAACCACATCCCGGTGCCATCCTGCTCCCGCTGGAAAACAAAGCTGAACGGTGAATGACTCGACCTGAAAAACACCAACGGTGGGAAAAGAAATTGTTTGGTAGTAAGGCTCCGATTTGAAAAGGCATTTACGTGTTGCAGTTCCTGTTTTGCTGGGGCTGCGGTTTCTAGAGGAGTTCAAAAATACAACGGTAACAGTTTCGCCCGCGATTTCTTTAGGTTCTGTGTGCTTAAAGTGATTGCCCACAAAAAAAAATAAAGTTGTTGAGAGGGAGAGGTGTCCTGTAGGTCCTTGGTGGGTGTTGGGCAGGCTTGTGCAGGGAGCTAGGAGCTGCAAGGGAAAAACTCTGTAAAATCGGGGCGGGGGGCTGTCTCCAAAAGTAAATGTTTTGCAAATTTGGGGGGTTGTTGCCAAAAGACAAAAGGTTTTGGAAAATCGCGGGCTGCCTCCAAAAAATAAAAGCTTTGCAAAACTGGGGGCTACCTCCAGAAAATATCAAAGTCTTTCAGAATTGAGGGCAGCTGACAAAGCTAGAAAAGCTTGGCAAAAAGGGGCACTGCTGCCAAAAAGGCAAAAGCTTTGTTAAATTGGGAGCCACCTCCAAAAAATGTAGAAGTTTTTGCAAAATCAAGGGCTGCCACTAGAAGTAGAAAAGCTTTGCAAATTCGGGGGCCACTGCCAATAGTAGAAAAGATTGGCAAAATTAAAAGCCACCTCCAAAAATAGAAAAGGTTTGCAAAATTGGAGGCTATCTCAAGAAAATATAAAAGTTTTGCAAAATTGAGGGTTGCCTCCAAAAATAGAAAAGTTTGGCAAAATCGTGAGCCACCTCGAAAAAATACAGAAGTTTTGCAAAATCAGGGACCTCCTCTCAAAATATAAAGGCTTTGCAAAATCAGGGGCTGCTGCTAAAAAAACAAAAGCTTAGCAAAATTGAGGCTGAAAAAATGGAAAAGTTTGGCAAAGTCAGGAGCCACCTCCAAAAAATAAAAGTTTTTGCAGAATTGGGGACTGTCTCTAAAACTATAAAGGTTTTGCAAAATTGGGGGCCAATTCCTAAAATACAAAAGCTTTGCAAAATAAGTAGCTGCCTCCAAAAGTATAAAAGTTTTGTGAAATTGGTGTCTTACAGTGCAGAAAAGTGACCTAAACCTTCAAAGAAGGAAGGAAGGAAGCGTGTCTGTGTAATTTCTTTTGGCTTGTGCAGGGTGTCCCTCAGCCAGGGAGCGTTTGGAGGGAGGTGAGTTTGCTGAAGGGAAGAGAAACTGCAGATCCAGGGGGGAAAGGTGAGGCCAGAACGGAAACGGGGAGGAGTTTGGTGTAACACAGGGAGTGTCAAAGTCATTTGGATCCGTACGAAGCCAGGCGTCGGTAGTTCTGCTTGTGGACCACCGTATTTTTCTGATCAGAATAATAAATACAGATTAAAAAAATCTGTTTTCCCACAAGAAGCGGCAGCCAAGACTCTGGAAAATGCTTTCAGCAAAACACGCGGCGCATCGCTTTCGATTTCAAGATTTAGTTGAGATGATCTCCAGGTTTCATTGCAGCACGGAGCTTATTTCTCCGGTGCCCTTTGAGGAGATGAAGGTGTTTGCCGAGCTTGCGGTGGGTCTTGCAGGGATTGCTGCAGTGCCGGGGGTGCTGATTCCATCCTGGGAACTTCGGGAAAGCATTTAAAACGGAGAGATGATTTATTTTGGTCAGGGAAAACAAATTGCGGCTGGGTAATAAAAGAGCGGGTGAAGCCGCGGCGGGAGCTCCTCCGTGTCCCGGCGCGTTGCTGCTCCGTCCCCCGGACAGGTGCTTCCCCTCGCTGCTGTCTGGGGAGGGGCCCGGCGGACGCCGCCTCTCGTTAGCGCAAAGCTTGCAATTAGTGCTGAAAAGTGGCAGGAGCGCAATGTATTTGGTGGGCTCGTGCGGTAGCAGTGCGCGCCTTGGCTCACGCACGAGGATATCCGATACTCCCTCGGAAAAAGGCCACTTCTGCTGGCGTAACGCAGTCGGAGCGTCCATTCTCGATGCCAGTGTGGTTCTTCGGTTGGTTTATCCTGCAGATTGTCTCCTGGATAGATGTGGCTTCACACCATTAGTACTTCAAGCACCTTTTAAAATCGATTGCTCTTTCAAAACACACCTTATTTTTAAATTCTCGGGCGTTTCAAAGCATCTCATTGACCTTTAGATTGCTGAAACAATCTCAAATAAAGCATCAGGCAAGCTTCAGGCACATTTCCCAAACAATAAAAAGCAGAAGTGCAGCTGTAATTAAAGACTTCATTGTTTTTAGGGTCAATTAAGGGAAGAAACAAACCCAGTGATCACAGCAGAGGTGATCCTTCTAATAGCTCTGTTCTTTTTCCTGCAGGTTATGGCACCTGGAACACTGGGGCCACCAACACTCAAGGTCAGTTTTGTGTCCGTAAAAATAGATCGGGGGAATTGCAGTTTTAGAATATAACTTATTTTTTCTTCTTTCTAGCCAGAGTAGTGTAATACAGAAACGGATTTTTGCAGCCTTTCTCCTCCTCTGCCTCCTTTAGTGACTTTCCACTTGTTTTTCTGTAAAAGCTTCCTCTGTAGTACCGTGATACGCGCCGATTCCCAGTGCCATGTACTGGAGGAGCTGGTCACAGCCTTGTATGTGTTTAATAGCGTGCTTTGCTTTATCACCTGGGGTTTATTAGCGCTGCAAAACGAGGCGTGTTCTGAAATGTTTGGGAGATTGGGTGCCCTCCCTTGAACTCTTTTCCAGCTTAAAGATTAGCAAGATGCTCCTAAAAGTGATTGTTATAATAAATGTATTTGCTTTTGCCTTGCGGGGTTTTATTGAATCATTTGAGTTGTTTTCAGGTGTAAATATTTGTGAGTTTTTCCAAAAACATATTAAAAAAGTATATATTACCTATTTCGTTTTCATAATTAGCTCTTGGAAGTCCCAGCGTCTTTCCCGTTCTGTGCAAAAGGATCCATCATCTTCGCCAGCAGTTAAACTGAATTAGATGTATTTAGTCTCTGAACTTTTAACTTTGCTGCTTTTAGAGCTGAAACTCTTCTCTTTTTGTCCCGTTCAGGTACATACGCGACGAATGCGACAAGTTGGCAAGGTATGTGCTAAACCCGCCCGGTTTGTCTCCAGGTGTTGGGGTGCCCTGTGAGCGGAGCCGTTTCCCTGCTCGTACCCCCTCTCTGCTTGCCAGCTGGTGTGAGGGACGCAACGCCGTGCTTTTAAACCGCTAGTTCATTTATTTATTTTTCCCTTGCCCCATGATGGTGCCTTTTTCTCTTGCCAAGGGAGCAGCTCTGTCCTCATGACTGGCACCATCTGTTCTTAAAGCAGAAAAATTACCTCGTGGATGAGAAGAGCTCATTTCTCTTACATCTCCGTTTCTCATTTGATCTGGGGCAGCCAGTTGTGTGCATCAATAAATTGATTTTACTGGGATTATATTGTTTTCTGCTCAAAACCCTGAGGTTTGCTCTTGTAATTCTGGCATCGTGATGGTACACAAATGCAGTTCTCTGTGCAAGCTTCCTCAATAAATAATAAACTTTTTCTCTCAGAGAAATTAGTTAATTGGATTTGGTTTGGATTCTGTGGCTGTTTTAAGCTGATCTTAACACATTCTTGAGTAAATTCTTTTAGAAAAGAATATTTCTTTGGTCCTCACAATACAAAATTGAATGCTGCATGTCAGGCTGTGGATTCAAACCTCCCAGCACAAGCCACTGGTGGAAATTAGGGGGTTTTTTAACTTCTGTTATTCCTCTTTTTTTGCAAAGCCTGGGCGTCCCTGTCAGGGTCTCGCACCCCGTTTTGCTGCGTATTGTGCCGATGCAGAGCAAAAAGGCCGTTCCTGCTGGGGAAGCTTTAAATAAAAGCACAAGTCTCGGGCAGACACGCCGAGGCCGTGCCGACCAGCAGAACCGGCAGCGGCGTTGTCACACCGGCGGCCTGAGCGATGTCGGTTTGATCGCAGAAAAGGAGAATTAGGAGGGATTGTTGTGGTGGTCGCTTTAGGAGCCCTCAGACTGCTGCAGCGAAGGGTTTAGCGGGTCAGAGGTAGTGGGAAGCAGCTCGTGGCGCGTGTCTCTGCCGGAGCGACGCTGGACTCGAGCGCGTGCGCTGCCCTCAGCCCCGATCGCGGGATCGCACGACGCATCCGGCCGCTTCGCGAGCGCGTGGGTCTCGCCACCGCCCCGTGGCACCTCCTCACGAGGTGCTCTTCGAGTACAGCTCGCTGCTTTGATTTTTCCAATTAATTTATTTAGTCATGGTCTTTTTTTTTTGATGGATATATGGCAACGTGCCCGGCAGCGCGTGCGCTTTGGGTTTTCCCGTGTCGTTTTGCAGGACTGTGCAACGTAGGTGGCTCAGGGTCGAGTTCAGAAATTGCAAATACAGCCAGCAGCGCTCTGGTTTTGCAGTTAAAATCACCCAAAGGAGGAGGGCCCTTAGGCTTTTGGGGTTAGCAACGAGAATCTTTAATATTTCTCCCTTTAAGAAATGAGATTTCTTTTGAAGGCGGTAAAATCCAGCTGCAGTCTTGCCTGGTAGGACCCGTTCGCATCTAAACTCTTTTCTCCGGGTACCTGTGTCTTTATAACATGGTATTAATAGAGATTTTTGTCTTCCCGTCCTGCCAGGCTATGAAGGCTACGACTATTACAACACCCAGACCACCGCCGCTAACACAGCGGCCACGTACAACTACGCCGCAGCCGCCGCCACCTCCAGCAGCTGGGAAACCCCCAAAACTTCGGAGATGAGCATGAACGCCGAGGTGGGCGCCGCCATGCCCGTCGCCTCGTACGGCACCGAGGCCTCGGCGAACGAAAACTCCGATTCCATCATCGCCAAAATCAACCAGCGTTTGGATATGCTGTCGAAGGAGGGCAGCGGCGGGACAGGGGAGGGGATGGACGACCAGGAGAGGTGACTGTTCCACTTACTTGTTTTTGATAGTGCGAAAAGAATGGCTTTTCATCCCCATAATTTCAGATTAAGTTTCCTGTTCCCAGGAAAACGAGCTCAACTGCTGATGCTTTCACCTGCCCCGATCCGTGCGTGCGTGCGTGCATACGCGTCCTTATTTCTTTAATACATGTCTCAAACACACCAAACTCGAGGTACACAGCAACCATTAAATGTGACTTCCATTGCTGATTCAATTCCTAGACTTTGCAGAAGGTTTTTTATTTATAGATTTTAGGTTTCTTAAAGCAATTTTTTTCTCCGTGTCACTTTTCCTCACGCCTGCCCAGTGTTTGGTTTTTTTCTCCTGCCGGGTTAAGTTACACCAGTCTGCAGAGTTCTTTCTTATCAGTGCGTGTTGCTGATGAAATAGTAATACAGATCTTGGGGAGAGTTACTGAATAAATGAAGTTTTACCTTTTTTTTTTTGCGATTGGCTGCTCACTGGTGTGGTCAGCCAAGATGCTGAGGGGTGTCTCTGGATCAGTTCACACCCGGAGGCACAGCTCAGAGACGAGGAGGAACAGCTTTTACCTGGGGAAGCTTTTGGGATCTGCTTTTCCGCTGGCAAAACGTAATTCCGAGTGGTTTAGTGCTAGAAAGTTAGTAAGCTTATGACACCTCTGAAGGATTTCTGTTCACAGAGCTGTTGCAGAAAGCCACAGGTTTTGATTGTTTTCCCTGAGAATAAGGAAAAGGGGATGTGCGGTACAGAAAGTGACGAGTACAGAGGGTTTAAAAATATTTTTATTCTGTTTTTCTGGCCAAAACCACTTGGACTGTAATAACAGTGGATGCAAATGCCTGTGCGATGTGTAGGAACGTTCTTCCGGCTGCTGACTGCCGCCTCCTCTTGCTCAGCTCTTTCAGATTCGAGTCTTTCGAATCGTACGACTCGAGGTCCTCGATGAGCGACCGCGACATGTACCGATCGGGCTACGATTACGGGGAGGTCGGCAGCGATCGCAGCGATTCCTTCGGGAGCCAGTTCGACAACCGCCGGGATCAGTCCCGTAACCGGGGAAACAACTACGGCCTCATCCGGGGACGGGGCCAAAACCGCGTTCAGAACCGCGGCCGTCTAAACGCTTTCAACCGCACCGACCACTTCATGCCTTCCTCCAGCTCCGAGCGCCTCTCGGCTCGCTGGAATGAGCTGAACTACATGGGTGGGCGTGGGATGGGGGGTGCCGGATCCAACAGGCTCCCTTCCCTCTTTTCCCAAGCCCTCGTTCCCGACTACGGCGACTACGGCGATTACGGCGACTACGGCGATTACGGGGATTACGGCGACTACGGCGACTACGGCGATTATGGTGACTACGGCGACTATGACTATGGCATGATGGGGATGTCGGGCATGGGAATGGGACGGTATGGGAATGTGCCGTATGGAATGGGGAGGCAACGAAACAGAGACAGGATGGGTACGGTGCCCTGGCACATGAACGCGCTCATGGTAAGTCGTCGTCAGCGGGCTCGGGTGTTTGCTGGGCAGGGTTGCTCTTCTGCTCGCCTCGGCGGGTAGGCTTGGTAGGGCTTTTTGGAGGAGCGCGTGTCTTAACTCACGTCGCTTCCAGCGCAGAGTAAATCTTCCTGGGTAGAGCAGAACATCACCGAGCTCACAGATACCCATTTGCACCTCAAACTGAGCCTCTGAATGCTTCCCCCATCCCAAATCTGCTCTGTAGGGCCACGAGCCCAGCTATAAAATCCTTTTATAGCCAAAAATAAGTCTTGAAGGGTCACAAGAATTTAAACTTTTTTAGAAGACGGGGAATACTTTGATTTTTAAGCTTTTTTTTTTTTTTTTTTTTTTTTTTCTGGTGCCTTGAGCGGATCAATAACAACTGATTTCTTCCCACTTCAGCCCAAGAGAAGAGGATTCCGAAACCGTTCGGGAGGGCGACTGGATGGCGAGGGAGGAGGACGCAAGCGAAAACAGTCGCAAAGCGGCGATGAGCCGGACAGCAAGCAGGCAAAGACCGACAGCGAGGGAGATGACACCGAGAACGGTACGAGCCCTCTTCACCCACCGGTATCGGCTGGTCCCCCCCGTTTTTAAGGGTTTTATCTTTCAGTTGTTACGGTGCAAAGCTGTTATTTTTTTTCCTTAGTTGTTTTGTTACAACACTCCTGCAAGTGCACAGGCTTTATGAACTGTGTATTTTGTGGCCTGGGACAAGATTTAGTGCTCGAGGTGAGCATTGTGAAAGTAAGAATGGGTTTGTAGCAGAGACTTATGGGCAAGGAGAAACCAGTGAGCTCTTTGCCATCTTCACTGGAGTTTTGAGCCATAATCTCAGTATTTGGTGATTTGCTAGGGGCCCCTTGGAGTGTTAAGTGGGAGAAAAGACCCCCCAGCGCCAGCTAACCCATTTTTTTCTTTTGTGCAGCAGATGAGGGTGAAGGAGAGGAAAAATCAGGAGATGAAGCTGACAAAGGTGTAAGTAACTTCTTTTTTTTAACCAATCTTTGTGGCGAATGTGGGAATATTTAAACACTTGAGCAGTTTCCTCTGTTCTTTTGACCACTCTGGGGCTCAGAATATTTAAAATCACCCAGAAACAGCATTTTGAGCCCTTATGTTATGCAAGTACTTGCTCCTCAATTTGCCTGTGCCCTTCAGGGGGGGATTACTGGCAGATTTGCTTGCACTGAGGTGTCTGAAAAGCACTTGCAGGGGAAAGGTTAGGATCCTGCGCCTGTCCTTCTGCTTCTGGCGAGGCTCGTTAGGGCTCAATTCCAATTAGTAGCTGGTTTCTTGCCTCATCAGTTCGTTTGCTGGGTTGGATGGGGTTCATTGCCCCCTTAATCGTGATTGCGTGTAACCTCCTGAACGGTGTCCCTGAGCGGCGACGTGGCTGCCAAGGATTTAAATTGGTAGTGAGGAGCGAGATTTAACGGTGACATACAACCTGATAGACAAAACCCAACCGTTTTGTAAATATTTCTGAAAAAGGCTGTTTAATCCCCGCTCTGCGGTCTGGCTGGGTGGACTGTGAAACCTCCAAACCGCAGTAAATAACAGCAGCGTCTTTTTGTGTTTCTCTTTTCCAGGAGAATGGGAATTGGGGCGATTTGGCGGAGGAAGGTAGGGTGTAACCCCCCCTCACGCAGTCCTCCTGGACTAACCCTACTGCGAATCCATCTGCTTCGCCTCAGGGCGTTACCAAGACCTTGATTATGTGGGTTTTTTTTGGTCAAAAGCTGATGCAGCTCCTGCTGCGACCTGTTAAGGAGTCCCGGGCCCCGGCGCTGCCTGTCGTGGCACGGAAGTGCCGCGTTGGTTAGCAGGGGAGTGCCAGAATGGTTTAGTTCCTCTTGAGCTGCGTGGCCCGGACGGTTGCCGTCCGTCCGAATGGCTGTCGGCCGCGGCGTTGGTTCATTTTCCTGCCATGCTTGGAGGATAGCGGTGAGGCCGCGCGTTTCTCGCAGCAGGGCAGAACACAAATATCAGAAACTAAAGAATTTTCAGTGGAGGCTTCAGCCACTGAGCTAAACTCAGTTTTGTTTTGATTTTTTTTTTTTTTTTTCAAATAAATGGGAACATATCAAGGTCTATTAGAACACTAACTGAAAAACACACGGTCTAAAGTAGCTGAAACCACTTCAGCTGGTTTGGGATTATAATTTTTTGATAAAGACACATCGACCCCCAGCATGTAGTGCCTTCTGCGTTAGAGTGACTGGGGGAAAATCACATGGAGGATTTCTGTTGCCTCTTATGTCGTTTTCAGGATTGGAACAGGTGTAGCTGGATATTAAAATTCTCATGTAAGCTTCCATCTGATGCCCACGTCTGGTACCTGGGCTTCTTTACCTGAAGATGCTGCAGGTGAATTATTACCTGAGTCCCATGAGGCTGGTGAACCTCTGACTCAGAGCTTTCTACCCCAAAAGACTGCAGAGATTAGGTCAGCTGAACCTTTGGTTTGTTCTTTGCCTTTGCAATAATTACCAAGGAATTATTGGGAAGGTGACAAGAGGAATATATCCCAAACCATCCCAAGGAAGCAGAACTACTGGAGCTCAGCTAGGATCTCTGCTGTTTTATGTTGCTTGACTTTCTTGAGTAGCGTTTTCAGCCTTGTGAAAAATAGGTGAATGGGGAAGAAATGAGAATTCAGGGAGAAAATGGCAGCTCCTCCCAAGGAAAGGAGATGGAGAGGTGTCTTAGCAGCATGGGAAAAGTCAGGACTCCCCTCTTGCAGCTAACGGTGTGTCCTGTCGCTGCATACGAAGAATTTGAGTTGCTGCGGGAGGTTCAGGGAGCTGGAGGAGAGGAGGGTTTGGGTTTTACAGTAACTGCTGGAGACCGTGGAAAGAGGCTGCTGCTTCCCTGCGGTGGGAAGCTGCCACGGGAGAGGGAAAGCTTCCAGAGACCGAAAGGAGTTGTGACTTGCAAAGCTGCGAGGGAAGAGGAGACCAAGGGACTCGGGTCCCAAATACCTCAGCCGGCAAAGCGGGTGATTGCGAGCACGGTAATTCTGATTTATCTTCCCCCCACCCTTAGCGTCTGGAGATGGCTGTGAAGATGACGACGAGGAGGTGAAGAAGAAGAGGGAGAAGCAGCGGAGAAGAGATCGGATGCGTGATCGTGCTATGGACAGGTAAGAGGAGCGATGAACCCGTCCGGACCCAACACTCCGGGGCATAATTCTTACCAAGGCTCTTCCTCTGCACCAGTGTGGGAGAAGTCTGCCGGGAGCTCCGCATGCTGATTTCAGCATGGTTTTTTTTTCCCTTTTTGTGTGTTTTATGCCTGTTTTAAGATAAGGAGACTACTGTGGTGATTAAGACACATGTCAGTGTGTAGAGTTATAAATTCAGAATGGGTTTTTAAGGGGCTGTATATGCAGCCCGGATATTAAAATAATAAAAGTAGTGATCTAAAGATGGACTAACGAGCAAAGGTGGCACCAGTGTTTCTGTATTTTGGGGTTTTCCCACAGCAGGGAGAGGATCTTCGTATCAAAAAGTGCCGATTCACCTCCTGCCCAATGAATTTCCCCAGTTGCTTTTAAACTCATGCAGGATTTTAGCGTCCAATCCCAGAGCATAAAGTTTTATAGAGAAGTAGATGCTGTTTAATCCGTGCAGGTTCCACAACGACTCTAAAGGTCCAAGGCAAAGTAAAATGGTGTGGGGTGGCGCTTGGAGAAAACGAAGAGGTGGAAAACTACAACGGGGGCGGTAACGGTCTCGCCCTCTTGATGTCCTCGTTGAGCTCGATCCTCACTTGCGGTCCGATTGCTCTGTTTAGAATCCAGTTCGCCTGTTCCGTCTGCAAGTTCCGCAGTTTTGAGGAAGAGGAGATCCAGAAGCACCTCCAGAGCAAGTTTCACAAAGAGACTTTGCGATACATCGGTACCAAACTCCCGGATAAAACAGTCGAGTTTCTGCAGGTAGGTGGGTTGTCCGGCGTTAGCTCGACCCTGCCTTGCGTCCGTGCTGGGATTTCTGGGCTTAGTTTTGGATCTCCAGGCTTCCATGGAGAGTAGAAGGGCTCACAAATGCATCCACATACAGCCCCCTGCTTGGTTAGCTCGCCTCACCGCTTGTTAACGCATCACCCGATGACATCAGCCTGCATGACGCGGTTTCTCGTGGGTTTTTGTGTTGGAAGGGCAAGTTAATTGTATGAATTTGAACAAACAGGCCAGAAATTAATATTGCAGGGGTGGTCTTCACCATCTACACATCCAGAGCTGAGGAAGGAGAGAGAAAGATCGGGGTGTTTTATTTTCTGCATGACCAGTGTTTGTGTTTTGGGGGCAGTTTTCAAGGATTTGGGGTCTCCCACAAGGAGTCTGATGGTGATGGGGAGGGGAAAACACCCGCCTTGCCTCCGTAATTCACCAGCCACGGTCTTCCCTGTGGGTTTTCTTTGAAGAGCTCGTTTCCCTTGTGAGCTCCTTGATCGTCTCAGTGTGTTGCGTGGAGGACGACGAGTTTTGTCCTCTTCCCTTCTAGGAGTACATCGTCAACAGGAATAAGAAAATCGAGAAGCGGCGCCAGGAGCTGACTGAGAAAGAGGGCACAAAACAGAAGCCGGATCCTTTTAAGGGTGAGTGTCCGTTCTGCGTCCCGACACCAAGTGAATGTGCAAGAAAACAAATGGATTTTGCTCCCAAAGAGGCACAACAGCACAAGCATGAAGGATTTGGGTAACTCAGCCTCAGGCTCTGGGTGGTTTTTGTCAATTTTGTGAACTAAATCGTCTTGGTGGGGAAGGGAGAATGCCCGTCCTCGCTGTGGTTTCTCAAGCAGCAGATCGACGAGGCTGGTGTGATGTCAGAGACACTAAAATGGGGTAAACAGGGAAAAACTTCCAGGGATTGATGATTTTTTTTTTTTTTTGTGGCTGTTTGGCTAGTGCAGCTGGATCTTGATTTTAATATCAGAGGGCCAAAGTTGATTTGTTGTTACAAGCGTAATGGGGAAAAATCCGCTTGGCTTCATCGACGTGCCTGTCCCCGCTACCGCTCTCAGCGCGCAGCCGGAGAGATGAGTGGAGCTGAGTTGAGCCGCGCGTCGGCTCTAAAATCTTGCGGGCAAAAAACCTGAGCTGAAGTAGAGGAGGAAACCCAGAGCTGGGGGAAGCGCCAGTTGTCCCTTCCACCTTTATTTAAATAGATTTTTGGAGAGGCAAGCTGGTTTTGGGAGGAAAACAGCCTCAGATAAGTCGGTTGCTTTGTACCTCGGGCTGTTTTCCCCGTCTCTCTTCCTCCTACGCTTGGGTGCTGCGTCGGCACGATCTATTTCAGAGCAGAGTAACTCTCCTCCCCATCTTAGAGCAACGTCTGTGGATTTTTTGGTTTTGTTTTTTGTCTCTGAAAGCACAAACTGGAAGGCATGTGGATGTTGAATTAGCGTGTTGGCTGGCAGGGGGCTGTTAGGGTGGAAAAGCACCGCTAACTGGCCGAACGTCTCCTTTGTTTGAGATTTTTCTGGCTGACATCTCGTCATTGCTGTAGGCATCGGCCAGGAGCATTTCTTCAAGAAGATCGAGGCGGCTCACTGCATGGCGTGCGACATGTTAATCCCTGCCCAAAACCACCTTCTCCAGAGGCACCTGCGATCGGCCGATCACAACAGAAACCGCAGGGTAAGCGACCCGGCTCGCTTCCGACCCCGAGGCGAGGGGATGCGTCCGGCCCCTCGAGGCTTACTCAGAGTTTCTAAAAACCTTCTCGTCTGGTCTGCAGTCGCACCACGAGGTGAAGCTGCTAGAACCGTAAAGCCTTGGGGGATGCTTGTGGACGGGCTGCGCAGGGTTTGTTCTTCTGTAGGGGAACACAAGCGGATGAGAAATGGGGAGATGAACAGAAAAAGTGACAGGAAAAGGGAAATCTGGCCTTACTTCTTTTGTGTTGGGTGTTTAGCAGGGTACATCGTCCAAGCACTGCTGTATAAACGTGCAGGCTAAATGTTTTTCCTTTCTGAATTTGCAGCACTTGCTAGAAATTAAAATTAAAAATTGCCTTTGAGGTCACTTGGGGTTTTCATAAGAGGTGTGATCGATATCTAAATTGGCCCAGGCTGGAGAGGGGCTTCGGCCTGTGCCGATGGAGACGGGGTGAGCGTCAGTCAGCACCTCGGGGTCGTCCTCGTCTCCTCTGTCTTGGAGTTTTTCACGTGAAGGTCCCTGTCCTGGGCTTGATTTCGGGATATTTGGGGGATGTTCCATCTGCTGGTGCTGAAACGCATTTTCCTCCAGGGTTCGTGTTAGCGCAAGAGAGGTGGGTGCTCCCTTGCATCTGCTTTTTGTGATGTTTTCTGGGATTTGAGCCCTGCAGAGGAGGAGGGAAAACAAACAGCCGAGCTCCTCGTTCGAACTCTTCCCCGGTTGAACTGACGCCGACGTTGGGTTCCTTTGCAGATGGCCGCGGAGCAGTTCAAGAAAACCAGCTTACACGTCGCCAAGAGCGTCCTGAATAACAAACACATCGTAAAGATGCTGGAAAAATACCTCAAGGTGAGTGAACGAGAGAGTCGGCAACTCGTGCCGAGTTCCCGGAGCAGCGCGGAGCCGTGTCTCGCGTCGGTGACGGGACACCTTGCTGCGCACCGTGGGGAGAAGCGTAGGTTCCACTCCGCTGCCTTTTTATCTCTAAATCTTGGGTCTGGTTTCTTTTTCTCTGTAGGCGGTTTACCACTTCTTGTCTGTATTTTTTTTTTTTTTTCTGTTGTTTTTCCTTTTTTTATTTATTTAACTCGCAGACTACTCCTGTCATTCCCAGGCGTGCATAGATCAATTTACGAAACTGTCCAAAACGGAAACGTAATTAAAGAAACCAAAATAGCAAAAGGAAATCCAGTTCCCCAAAGGCACCCCTCGAGCTGTGGCCTTTGGGGGGGGACACCAGGTTCCCCTCAGTGCCGGGAAGCCACCGCTTGAGTCCCGCCGGGATGAAAGCCGACGTGGACCGGCTCCTGGCCCACCCGCTAATCCCGCACCGGGGGCGGGGGAGTGGAATTCTAACCCTGATTTAAAAAGCCGGGCTCTGCGGCGCTCCCGGCAGCGCAACCAAATGAGAGAGCACCCCGAGGTGGGGGTTACAGCCAATTCCCATGAGTTGAAACACCCTTGCTAGCCACCCCCGCCCTTTTTTTTTTTTTTTTTTTTTTTCCTTCCTCTTCCCTTGGGAAGTGGCAGAAAACACCCCAGCCGATCTTCAGAGCCGAGATGGAGCACGAGGAAAGGTCAGGGTAGGGTTTAATCCCAAACCAGCGTTCGGAATTACAGAAGGAAGCCCGGAAAGCCAAACGCAGTCTTCAGAGCACGGGGGTTAATCCGCTCCGTGCGGGAACGCCGCCGAGCGAGCCGGCCGGGCGGGTAAGCCCGGCCTAAATCGCCTCGCGGTAGCCGCGGGTCCGGAGGCCGAGGGAGAGGAAAGGTCGCAACCTCCTCCGCCAGGCGAAGAGGAAAAGAAGCTTTTGGCTACTTGTTTGTTCCCTGGAAATCCGGGAACAGCCCAGGATCCGGCAGGAGAGAAGCCCTTGTTTGCAAAGCTGGCAGACAAGGGCAGGCAGATGCCCACACACACACCCCCCCCACGGGGGAGCAGATGTTTCCCCTGTCCCACCGGCGTCATGGTTTTATTTTTGGTCTAAACCCGGACTGAGCTAGCTGTCATCATGCCCAGTCTCTGCTAAAATCTAGCAAAAAATAAACAAAATAATAAAAAAAAAACAACCCCAGAATTAAAAACTGCGACTCCACCTTCTGGGTCCAGTGAAAAGAGACTCTGAGCTGGGAGCTTGTCGGCGTCGGATGGCCGTCTCTCCCCCTAAACCGGCCTCTCATACACGTTGAACAGGAGGGTGAGATAAAAACCCTGCGGTACCCCACAGGAGAGAAAGAAAAAAAAAAAAAAAACGAGCCCTCGGGGCAGACGAGGTGCAAACCTCTGGGATCTCTCCGAGAAATTTAAAATAAAAATAAATAAAAAAAAAAATACATAACCCCCCCCCCAAAAGACTGGAACCACTCAAGTGCAACTCCGTCTACCCCTGCCAGGGTCCGCAGGCACGTCCACATCTCCTCATGATCAACGGTATCAAAGGCTGCCGGCAGATCTAAATGAATCAGCACGGGCACCTGACCTTTGTCCAGCGGCAGGAGGAGATCTTCGGATCCATCCCAGCACGGTCTCCGTATCATTCCCAGGTGCAAAACCAGACTGAAAAGGGGTGGAGGAAAATCTGAGGATTCCAGGTAATTCCAAGAGCCGCCTCGCCATTAAAAAAAAAAAAAAAAAAAAAAACCAAACCAAACAAACACGTTCTCGGCAAACCTTCCCCCTGAAAGGAAGGCCGGAGACGCAGGGCGATTAATTAATCAAGACTTGGCCGCATCAAGAGATGATTTCTTGACCATCGGCCTAACGATTCCTCCTCGGAGGGATGGCGGGACACCTCGCCCTTCCCAAGGGAAGCCGTGACAGTCTCCACCACGAGTGGACTTCACCTCCCCCGGTAGATTTCCCCGGCGATAACGGACGTTGGGGTCCAGATCGCGGAGGTAGAACCCGATATTTTTATATTTCCCCCCCCCGTCACCTCCGTAGGTTGGGATCCTCAGAGAAGATGAACGTTGAGGTTTCTCCTCCATCTGCATGGATCTTCTCGCGTGGAGGCAGCCAACCTGGTCTGAATTTCTGATTGAGGCAGAAATGAACCCCAGGGTGGGGTGGGGGGGAAAAAAAAAAAAAAAAAAAAGGAAAAAAAGGAGGAAGTGTCTGGAGAGGTTGGTTTTGTGTTGTTTTTTTTTTTGTTGTTGTTTTTCTTCTTCCCTTCCTCCTTTCCAAAAAATTAAACCTCTCCCTCCCCGCCGCTGCGGTCGATCAGATTTCAGGCGAGGGTTCTGCCGTGGTCGGCGTGCCACCCTCCTTCCCTGCGCCTTTTCGCCACGATGTCGTGGTGACCTGCGAGGGGGGGGAACAGAAACAACAACAACAGCAACAACAACAACAAAATAGGGAGTTTTAGAAGCACGGTTTATCCTCGGATTGCAGCCCGGGTGTGTGTGGGGCATCTCCTCTCTGGCAAGGTCAAGGTTATAGGGCAGCAGCACCCCGACTTTGACCCTACAAGCGCTCACCCTGCGCCTCCTAACTCTTGAAACGCAAGCAGAGCCCCCCCGAACCGCGGGGGAGTGGTGGTAGGATCTGCTGTCGGCCTGAATAAAGGTAACGAGGTTAAAAAAGAAACTTAAACCACAAAAAACAACCCCAAACAAACAAACAAATCAAAAAACCTCCCCAAACTCCGGAGGGTCTTGGTGTCCCCAAGAGATTCCGAGGTTACGACCACATCTGGATTGCTCCGTCTACCCCTGCCCCCCCCCAAAAAAAAATTAGTAAAAAATGAAGGTGGGTTGAAAACCTGGAAGCGTCGCCGCTCTTCCCAGCGAGGGAAAGGGAACCCGGCCGCTGGCGCCTCGACCCCGGGGGCGGAGACTTGAGAAATTCCTTTTGGATTTTAATCGTCTCGGTTAAACCCAAACTCCTCGCGGGCGAGGAGCGGAGCCGATGAGCCTCGGCGCGGTTCTTAGCGTAGGGCCGTCCCCAGTGCCCGCGCTGCCACGCTGGAGCATTTCTTTTTGGGGGTTTTCTTGTTTTTACCGATTCTTTCCTCTCCTTCCAAGCGTGGGATCATTTTGTTGTATTTTTTTTTTTGCCCGGGGTTCTCTCGCTTTGGGATTTTCCACGACGGATTATTGAATTTCTCTCTTTTTTTTTCTTTTTTTTTTTTTTTTTTTTTTTCCACCATTTTAAGACTCATCTGTCGCCAAGTTGATTTTTTTCAGTCGCCAAAAAAAAAAAAAACCAAACCAAACCACATCAACAAAACCACCTCTCCCGCGTTTTCACAGTGGAGATTCCCTTTGCCTTGCTGCAGCTCGATGACTTTTTGTCTCTCTCCCATTTTTTGTTTTGTTTTGTTTTCCGTAGGGAGAAGATCCCTTTACGGATGAAATTGCGGATCAGGATGTGGATGAAGCTTTGGAAGGTGGAGACGGCACCGGGGAAGGAGCGACCGAAAGCGCCGCCGCCGAAGTTGCCCCAGAAGGAGAAGGAGGAGTCGGGGAAGCGACGGAAACGGCGGAAACGGCTGAAGAATTTTGCAAACCTGAGGAATTTCTTAAAAATCTCGGGGAGCAAGATCAGCCCCCCAAACCGCTGTTGATGCCGCCGTTCCTGCAAGACGACGAGCTGGAAGCGGAGGAGATGACATCGGAGGTGACGTCAGAGGTGACATCGGAGGTGACGGCGGAAGCGACGGCCGCGGCGACTTCAGAAGCGACGGAAGAGCCGCACGCGGTTCCACAAAACCCCCAGGAATCCGCGATTTCCCCCCAAAATGAAACTGAGGGTTGGGCAGGCAAAGAGGAGGAGGAGGAGGAGGAAAATGGGAGCAAGGCAGCGGCTGCGGCCGGCTGCAGCGAGGAAGAGGAGGAGGAGGAGGAAGAGGCTCCACCAGCGGCTGAGGAGCCGCAACCGGAATAACTGTGAATATTTGCGTGAAGGTGATGGTATAATCCGTGATTATTATTATTTTTTTTGATTTATTATTACCAATTTTTTGAGCGCAGCGCCCAAACGCGGCCAATTTTGGTTTGAATTAAGGGGGAGGGAACCCAGCTGCTTCGTTAAGGAGCCGCCCCAGCGCTTAATTGATCTCGTTAAGATAAAATTTTGCTTCGTTTCTGCAAATTTTTTTTTTGTTTTAGGACGAAGAGCGCAGGAAGCCGTACCTCCCCCGCGAAATCCTCTGCCTGCAGCTCCGCTTGGGGTTTTGGTTATTGTTTTTTTGGGGGAGGAGGGGGGGAATTTTAGAAAGAAAAAGGAAAAAAAAAGCAAAAAAAAAAAGCTGAGGTTTGGAAAAATAATAAAAGCATCGATTCGATCCCGGCGGCTCTTTGGGTTTTAATAACGCTGGCGGGATGGAGCCGGTGCCCTTCCCTCATCCCTCGTCCTTCCTAATGCTGAAAATACTCAATTTAGGGATTTTTTATTTAGTTATTTCCCAAAAAGTGGAATTTTTCCATGTGGAAATGTATTAATTTTCACCTGCCTTCATTCTGCGTGAGAATGAGGGGCATCAGTTGGGGTTTTTTGAAGCAGCAGCTTCGTTATCTCTAGAAGCAGGGCTGTTGTTGGCGCGGGGGTTCGCTCCAGGTGATGAAAATAGTGAAATTTTCCCCCAAATGACCCTTTTCCAACAGAATTTGGGGGTTGTGGCCGCATCCTCGGGCTCCAAACCTGTTTCCTAAAGGATTCGCCAAAAGCAAAAGAGAACAATTTGGTATTTACCGAGCTGCTGGACGCGGAGTAAATCCTGTGGTGTAAATCCTTTGGGGTTGTTGTTTTTTTTTTCCTAAAAATCCCTTTTTTCCCCTCAGAAAAATCTCCCGCTCCAGGCAGCTTCATTGAGTAAAAACAATTGGATTTTTGTAAAGGGCCCCCCCGACCTGCCCATCCCTGCGCTGAGCTCAGCCCCGGCCTCAGCCTCCCTCCGCCCAGGGGTGGGCGTTGCCGTTGGGCGGGCTTATTGCGTCATCCCCCACCCACCGCGCCCCTCCCTCGGCCCGTGACGTCACGGCGCGGGGCGCGAAGGCGGGGCGCTGCCCGGCGGGTGGGCGGGGCCCGCTGCGCCGTGACGTCAGGCGCAGCGCGGTGAGGTCAGTGCGGCGCCGCTGCCGGACCCGTTGCCCCTCGGTGCCCGTCTCCCCCCTCCCCCCCCCCCGCCGCGGCCGCCTTCCCCTCCCCCCCTTTCCCTTCCTCCTCCTCCTCCTCCTCCCCCCGCCGCTCGGGGCCGCCTCTCCGGGCCCCCCCCGGCCCCGGCGGGAGGGCGGCTCGCCCGGCCCGGCCCCCTCCCGCTGCCGCCTGAGGTAAGAACCGGGCCGCGGCGCGGGCAGCGGCACCCACCGCCATGGCGGCGTGTGCGAGGGGGGAGAAGGCGGCGGGGGTGGGGGGGCTGGGATTCACCAACGCCTCGTACGTCGCCCCGCCGGCGTAACCCGCATTGCGTAATGCGGCCGCTGCGTCAGGGAGGCCTACGTAAACTGCGGCGCGGAACCCGCCCGGAGGGTTGAGGCCTGGCTGCGCAAAGGGCGTAAGGCGGGGGGGTGGGGGGGCGCCGTTAGCGTAGCGGCGGTCACGCGCCGGCTGCGTAGGACGCTGCGCAAAGTGTGTGTGTGTGGGGGGGGGGGAATACTGTGTGTGTGTTTTCTCCGCCCCGTACGCGTTTTGCGCAACCGGCGGTTTGGCGGGGGGGGGGTAAGGCAGCGCGGCCTCGCGGCCGGTATGGCGGGGGGGGCGGCGGCGGCGGGGGGGGTCGCTCGGTGCGCGGGGGGAGTGAGGAGGGCCCTCCCGCCTGCGCTCGCCGCCTTACGCCGCTTGCGGAAGAGCGGGCGGTGTTTGCGTACGGGGGAAGGTGGGAGCGGCGTAACCTGCGCGGCGCCCGCCCCGCTGCGCCGTTAGCGCGCGTCCGGGAATAGCGCGGCGTTGCGCCGCTGTCGTAAGGGCCGGGGTGCCGGGCGCGTTACGCCGTTGGCGGGGCCGGTTACGCAGAGTGCGTGCGGTGGGGCGGGGCGGGGCGGACGGCGCGGGGGCACTTCCTGCCGCCGCCATTTTGTCAGCGGACGGGAGGAGGAAGCGGCGGCTCCTGCGCGGAGGCAGCGGCCGGGCCCCGGCGGTGAGTGGCGCCGCCGCCGCCTTCCTCCTCCTCACCCCTCGCCCCAGGGACCCCGCGCCGGGCTGGGTGGGACCGGACCGGGCCCGGCGACGGGGAGGAGGAGGTGGGGGGGGGGGGGCGCTCCTGCCCGCGCCGTTAGGCCTAGGCCGCCCGCCCGCCCCCGCCCTGGCCTTGCAGCCAGGCCCGACGGCCGCTCGCTCGGAGCTGAGGTGGGGTTGGGGAGGGGGGGAGAACCCGGACACTGAGGGCAGTGGGAGTCGGGGAGCGGAGGCCGGCTGGGCTGGGAGCGGGCGGTGTGAGCGGCCGCCGCACCGGTGCCCTTGGGGGGGTGGGTGGAGGATGGGGGGGGAGCGGCGGGGCCTTCCCGGGCAGCCCTGAGGTACCGAGCTGCGCGGCCGCCGCTCTTCACGGTTTCACCGCCATCGCATCCGCTCCACGGGCCCTCCGCTGCTCTTCGGGCCCTTTTTCAGCTTCCAACAGGGCGGTTTGCTGGCTTGGTCTTCAGTTTGCACGGCCGGCGGACTTCTTTAGATTTTCAAGCTACGTTTTTCCCGGGTTTCCAGGTTGTTTTATACTTTTCTGAGAGTTGTTTTGGAGATTATAAAGCTGGAGGGCTCAGCGCTGGGAGAGGGGGAAACTTTTGAGCCACCCTCCTGTGTGAAAACACCGTGTCGGGTGGGAAAGGGGAAACCTCGGTGCTGTTGGAAGCCGGAGCTGGGCAGAGGGAGAGCGACTGCTCTTTCCCCGGGGGTTTTGGGGGTAAATCCTGGAGGAGCGGGGTCCCTTCGCACCGTTGGGACGTCGGTTCACACGGACGCTGGGTTCCTCCACTCGTTTGATGCAGTAATTAGCCGCTGGCATGAAAGTGAAGACTGTTCCTGCTCGCTTCAAACGCACATTGGTCAGAAGAGATACAGCTTCACATGCTTAATTAACAGCAGGGAGTAAAAGTCTGTTCCTTGTAAGCTCAGGCTGCTCTCACCTTGATTAATAAGTGCATCCTTATCCTCCTCCCCCACTACTTCTGTGTTTTCCTCCCCAGCTTTTTATTTTCACCAAACCCTTTCAGACTTAAAAACCCCTGCAAATAGTTTTTATTCCGAATAACGTTAAAGCTCCCCTGTACTTTTTGGCAGAAGTTTTCCCAAGAAAATTCTTTAAAGCCCTGTTATTCTTTGATGTACCGTGTAGTCCATCAAGCAGTTTGCAGCGTCGTTTTAAGAATAAATGCAGGCAGTGCCGCTGCTCGTAGGGATGTGTGTGAAAATTTGAAGAAGCAGGTAGTTAAGTTGGTAATGAATTTGTGTCGCCTGGTAGCTCTACGGGACAGCAAAGGGACCCCCTCCCCTCCGGGGCCGCTGTTTTGCTGAGCTTGGTTTATTGGCGTCTGGTTTTTGTATCTACATCGTCCATCAAAGTTTCGGGGTCATTTGAGTGACCTGAAACGTTCGTCGAAGTTTTACAGAGGTTTGGTTTACCTGTCTGTGGCGTGGTGATTTCAGGTTGAGCTTAAGAGCTCTGTTTAAGCTTGTTGTGGCAAAGTTTAGCTCGATTTAAGCAAGAAAATGAACCAAACTACTTTGGGCAACCAAAATATTGAAGATTTCAACCTTGCAAACGTTTAAAAGGGTGCTCTAGCTCTCCTGCATTAATAATTCACCTTTGGTGGGATTACTACTAATATAAGTGTTTGCAGAGGTTAACATAAATTGAGTTTGTGTCGCTAGGAGTTTCTGGTATCCAGTTTAAGGCCGTGTGAGTTAAAGGTCGCCCTCAGCCGTTTTCTGGTGTTACGTGAGGGCCCCTTCGTGTTACAAAACGCGAGGCAAAAGAAAATATTTGATTTCTCCACATGTGAACTCGAGGAACCGCGATAGTGACTGTAAATAAATGCGATGTACGGGGGGAAAACCACCCGCGTGAGGCCGGTTGTTCCCACACAGCCTCTAATTTTTGCACCTTGGCGGAGGATAGGATTCCTCATTTAAAAGTAGTAAAACACGACTTTCCTGATTATTTTATTCCCCTCCCACTACATTAATTACGTAAAGCTGAATAACTGTTGTTGCTGTGTTATCTGATGATACCCCGAGTGCGACTGCAGTGGAGGTGACCAGCTATTCGCTAAATCACCGCTGGCAGCGAAGCCTTCCTTACCATAAATCCTGGTTCTGTTTTAGGAGGAACTGGGGATTGTGCTTTGGTTGGAGACTGGTGCAGGTGGGAATCGACCTCACCCTGGCAAACGACCCGCCGGTCGCTCCTGTGCTTCCAGTTGCTTTTTGTTGTTTTTGGTCTTCCGCTGAGGGGGATCTGTAATCAAGTGTGCGTAATCAAACGCCCCTCGCTACGATTCCTTGATATTTTGGAATAGTTTCTCCAAAGTAAACTTTATAGTCTGGTAATTATCTACTGGCAAACAGTTTGGACCGAGTTCAGGAATGTAAACCATTTATTTGCAGGAAGGTATTTTACCTTAACCCCACGTGAAATCCCGACTCCACCGACAAGGAACCTGGGCACAGCTCTGCCAGTGAAAATGGGGTGAAATCTGGGGGATTTGAGGCAGCGATAACGCTTAACGTTGGCATCTGCTGGATCTGGCAGCGAACGGGGAGGATAAAGGCGCATCCTGGCCACGTTCCTTTGTGATTTCTAGCGATGGGTGATGTTTTGTGAGATATTTCCTCCTCGTCGAAGCAGTGGGGGGGTTGTGAGCGTTGCCTTCCTAAATATAGAAGGGGCGCGAGAACGGGACGGCATCTCGTTCTGGGCGATGGCGGCGGGTGGGCCGCCGTAACCCGACCGTGTCTGCTTGGGAGGGTTCTGCAAAGGCGAAACCCCCCGGAAAGCGGCCCGTGAGGGATGTGAACGTGCACAGGGAAGGGAAAGCAACCGGTGGTGGCTGTTAGGAGGGGGTTTGTGTCACCTCCTGGCTTGTCACACGTTAAATTCTGGGGCGAATTGTGTCTCGGCTTTGGCCAAAGCAGCGAGTGGGGAAGAAGTCTGTCCCCAGTACTGTGGGAGGAAGGGTTTGAGTCCAGGTTTTAATCTGTTTTTTTGAGCTTTCTTGCTATGAAAAGGAGGAAAACGATGTGTCTGTAAGCTTATGAGGCAATTGGTAGGGTTTTTTGGGGGTGTAATTACATAATAGGTATTTTAAAGCTTTCTAACATCTAAATCCAAAAGCTTTTGCAGAAATATTGGCAGTGTTACTGGGGTTTTTGGGTGAGGATTAGTGTGATTCAAAGAGCGGCTCTGCAGAGCGGATGTGAAAGGGGAAGCTGCCCGGCGGAGCCAGGGAATCCCAGCGCAGGGAGCTCGCGTGCCGCCCCGGGATCCACCTTCCTCTCTGGGCTGAGTCCCCTGGCTGCTTCCAATATTGGTTATTTCAATGCAGAATATCAAAATAACTTTACTTAGTTGGGATTAGGACGACCTGGTTGTCTACAGGCCGCAAAGGAGCCGTTTTGCTCTAAAACTTGTAGAACCCAGCTACAGATATCTTACAGCAATGGAAAAAGGACTGGGGTTCTGCCGTACTGACACACAAGTTAATTTATCCGTACCGGATCAGCGATGTGGAAGGGTGAAGGGTTTATTGCTGCTGAAGCTTCCGTCGAGTGAGCTGGGATGTTTCAGGGTTGGTCCAT